ACTAAAAAAACATAAGAAAATAAAGGCCATGCATGTAACCTTTGGACTCTACAACTACGTACTAAAGAAACTTGCATATTTCTTCTTTCTTCAGAATGGATCAGAGCCTTTTTGGTGGAGTCCTAAAATTTGGTTTCACTTCTGGCTGGGGTGGAGGAACCTGGAGCAACATAGAACCAATTAAAAGGTGTTGCATCGAAGTACATTGGTCCAAGTTCTCCTTCTTCCGTATAGCAGACTGAGCTTCAGTAATTGAGTTAGCACTATTGGCTACATCATCCCCTCCCTCTTGGAGCGAAGCCGTCCTCGGTTTCGTGGTAGCTTTGGGGACCTTACAGACATCGTTCTTGATAGCACTAGCGAACATCGGCTATAACACATGTCGCCTTCCAGAGTCCCAAAAAGAATAAGTGTTAGACCTTCCTTCATGCATAGCACGATGATCATATTGCCATGGCCTCCCCAATAATAACTGGCATGCATTCATTGATAGAACATCACAGATTATTGTATCGGTATAATCGCCAACCAAAAAATTGACACGCACCTTATGAGTAACTTTCAGTTTGCCCGATTGATATAACCATTCGACACAATGCGGTTGTGGGTGCTTCCAAGTAGGCAAAGCTAAAGCATCCACCAAGTCCTTGCTTACCGCATTAGTGTAGCTTCCTCCATCTATGATCAACTTACAATTGGTTTTGTTGATTTTGCATTGAGTTTGAAAAATATTCCAACGCTGTCCCTTATCCTCAATGTGATCCCCTTGCACTCGCTGCACCATCAATGATGGATATGATTCGGCAGCTTCAAAACTCACAACCACATTTTTAGCATCCTCGGATTTTTCACTAGAATTGTCAGAAACTGTCTCTTCATCACTAGCGGATGCATATCCATCTCTTGTGAGCAACACTCTTTTCTCATTAGGACATTCACGCTTCATATGTCCCCTTCCACCACACTTGAAACACTCTATGTCACTAGTGCGTCCGATCGACTGCACATTAGAATCAACCCTCGACAGTCCTGATTTTGAAGCATCCTTTTGCACGGAACCATGAGAACGATTTGATGTTGTCGTCCTGGCGCTAGGAACGACATCCTCATTCTTATGCTGCGAGCGACGCCATGTGTTCAAAGTGGTACCGGAAACTGTGTTGACTTGGCGTCGCTTAATCTGTTGTTCCGCACGCACAGCTTGGTGCACAAGATCTTGTATATTGTAGTAGACCACTATCTCAACACGATCTTGCACCTCGATATTCAGCCCGTTAAAGAAACGTGCCATGGTCGCCTCTGGATCCTCCGTTGTCACTGTACGTATCATAAGCAATTCCATCTCCTTGTAATATTCATCAACACTCATATTACCTTGAGAGAGCCGCTGCAACTTGTTGTACATATCTCTTTTATAGTGTTCAGGAACAAAACGTCGCCTCATGAACTCTTTCATCCCTCGCCAAGTCGTCGGGCGATGTCTTGAACGACAAATTTGATTTCACCATATTAGCGCGTAACCAGTAAACTCAATGCCAGCAAGTTGAACTTTCTTCTCCTCGCTATAATGATGAGCATCAAAAATTTGATCCACACGCATCTCCCACTCTAAATAGCCTTCTGGTTCACACTTGACGGAGAACGAAGGGATTGAAATTTTTATGCGCCCAATTCCATCATCCACAGGCACACGCACAGCTTGACCAACTCGGTCATGCACTCCGCCACGAACGGAAGTTTCAGGACGAGGCTCATAGTGTCGTGGTCGTGGCGCGTACCCCACCTGGTCAACGCCGTCATCAAGACCATCATCTCCAGCATGAGGTTGTGCCGCCAAACGCCGATCATGCACGCCGGCATGTCCGTCGCGAGCAGGTGGTGCATAATGCAGTGGAGCCGCCGGAGCAGTCTGTGGTGGGGCAAAATTCGTCGCCGGCATATTGATGATGTCTGCCAAACCATCAAACCGAGTGATCAGGACATCTATCCTTTTACCGAGCGCATCATGACATTGCTTGATGTAGTTGCATGTGTGGTCAAAACCATCTCGAATATTTTGCGGAATATCATCCGCATACACTGGACGTACTATTTCCTCAGAATCAGCAGCAACCTCATCACCCTTGTTGACCGAGGTTGACATCTTGATCAACACAGTACCGTGAATAACCTTAGCTCTGAATACCACTTGATAAGACTCGACTAGACGACAAGTCGGTTGGTCCGATCTTCCACGATACTGGCCGCAACACAAGAAATTCCGGTCGAGCAATGATGCAAGACCGTAAGATCAAAAACTAGCGTTCAGTAGACTAGATCAACTCCACGCGCAGCAGCAACAAAATTTACACGGATCAGCAACAAAGACAATATTGGGTGTCCCCCGACATGGGACGTTTTCTGTTTATTGAAACTCACAACCGAAACAAATCTCACGATAACCCCAAAAAACCGACCTCGTACACGGCCGGAACGTGCCCGTTATATAAGCAGGCCAAACCGACGTACAAGCTAGCTTTACTCACACAGACTCTATCTCCTATTTAAACTAAGCCAGGTTTTAACTAATTAAATAACCGGCACCGTTGATCACGTTGGATCCTAGCTAGACTCAGATTGCTCACGTAACTAATAGCTGACTAAAAAAACATAAGAAAATAAAGGCCATGCATGTAACCTTTGGACTCTACAACTACGTACTAAAGAAACTTGCATATTTCTTCTTTCTTCAGAATGGATCAGAGCCTTTTTGGTGGAGTCCTAAAATTTGGTTTCACTTCTGACTGGGGTGGAGGAACCTGGAGCAACATAGAACCAATTAAAAGGTGTTGCATCGAAGTACATTGGTCCAAGTTCTCCTTCTTCCGTATAGCAGACTGAGCTTCAGTAATTGAGTTAGCACTATTGGCTACATCACCACTAGCATAACCAACACGAAAGTAGCACCAGCATGGTGACGACGCTCGTGAAATTGGCAGCCGACAAGGGAAACTCGATCGACCCCCAAAACGAAAGAATCATGTGTTGGGAGTAATACCTGACGGATGAAGAAATTCTCTCGGTGTCGATACAGCAGTCACGAACACGGAGGACCCGTAGCAGACGAACGCGGCAGCAACCGGAAGGAAGGATCTGCGATGGCGGTGAAGCCCTAGGGGGAATATGGAATAAACGAGCTGGAGGCGGCGGCTCAGATGTACGGCTTTGAGTCACCGGAACCCACGACTGGAAGCCACACCAGTTCCCTGCCAAGTGGTCCCCAGAGACCTCGCCGGAGCACCGGACACCGCAGAGGCTGCGAGAGCCCGGGCCTCCATGCCGGCGGCGTCGCGACGCAGACGGGAGGCTTGGCGCTGCGAGACAGAGAAATCCGACGCTGCCGCTGCTCGGGAGCACGGGTCTGCGCCAAGGGCCGAGCCTCCTCATCGTCGCCGTTTTATGAGTGGCTGCGGTGTGGCTAGCATCGCACCGGCGGAAGGGACACGAGGCAGGGTATGGAGAAGCAGTGGCCACGGCGGCGGCGGCGAGGGAGAGGAGAGACGAGAAGAGGAGGAGAGGTTGCATGGAGTACGGGGCTGGGCCACATGTGTGAGGCCTTTTTACGATGACCATCCAAAATTATCGATCGATAAAACAGTACCGCTAATGCCCACGTGGACACACTCATTGCTCGCCTTTGATGCGCACCTGAATGGTTTTAATTATCCAAAGTTATTGCAAAGATCTTGTTGGTGAGTCCAAAATCTACCACAACTTTAATTATCCAAATGTTCTCACCAATGCGCGATACGACAATTAATTCGAATCATATGATTCCTTTGTCTAGTTGCCATGTTTCGTTAACATAATGAGCAACCACACAAATGTAGTCTTTCTTAGCCTGACCGCTAAACAGAAAAATATGCATGTGGTAAAGTATTTTATTTTTATTTTTGAAGACTAATTTCATATAACTTATTCTTATCCTAGTTGTAGTCTGTCTAGAAACTAAAACGATATCTAGTCTAGTAAATTACAAAAGAGTTGTCACCATTGACTTTTCCACCTCACATGGGTTGTCAATGTAGATAAAGACACTACAAACTGTTTGTCACGGCTACGTGTATTAATCATGAAAAAACAGTTAGACATCTCCTCAAGGGGCCAGATGTGGGAATATTTTTTTCGAGGGGCCATGGATGTACTCCCCACATCCGGTAATATAGAATATTTAATAAAAAAAACTACCACATTTGGGGTTTGTGTCTAACTGAATTACCACTTCTTAATAGTGACAAAAGGCTACCACATTTACTTAATTTTGTTTGCAAAAATCTACCAAATGCATTTGATAACCGACGATTTAAACACGTCTATGACAGGCGGGACCCGCCCATCAGGGTTGATGTGGTGGAAAAGTCAATTCTGCTTATTTTGATTGTTAAGCTGACCATTATGATAGAGAAAGAGGAGGAGGAAGGAGGTTGATGATGACGCGTGGGCCCCACTTGTCATAACGGTCAACTTAACAGTCAAAATAACCGGAGTAAACTTTCCCACCACGTTAGCCCTGATGAGTGGGTCATGGTTGTCATACACACGTTTAAATTGTATAAATCAGTCAAATGCATTTGGTAGTTTTTTTGCCAAAAAATTAAGTAATTGTGGTAGTCTTTTGTTAGTGTTAAGAAAGTGGTAGTTAAGTAAGACACAAACCCTAAATTTGGTATTTTTTCTGCTAAACACTCAATGACATAAGATGTTATTACAGCTAATTTACTCACATATTGGTTGTCAGACCATCTTATAAACGGAGGGAATACTTAAGTTTGAAACGGGCCATTTTAGTGGAAAAGATGCCTTCGATTTAGGGTACGGCGTTGGAGACGCTCTCAGCCGTGCGATCACACGTGTAGATTCGTACTACACCGAAGGCCACCTAGACAATCAGATAAACCCCATCATCATCCCCTTATCCTCGAGCCCGAACAGCAAACGCGAGCAGAGAGCGCAACACGAAGATGGCGACGATGTCCCTCGCCGCGGCCTCACCCCTCACCGCCTCCACCCCCCGCGGCCTCGCCGTGCCCGCGCCCCGCGCGCCATTCCTCGGCCTCCGCGCATTTGGCGCGTCGGCCACGCGGTTCGCGGGGCTGGCGGCGGCGCCGCGGCCGTCGGGGAGGGGCGATGCGGCGGTGGTGAGGATGGCGAAGAGGGAGCAGGAGCTGGAGGAGATTCGGGCCATGGAGACGGAGAGTCTGGAGCAGGAGGTGGTGGACCTCAAGGGGGAGCTCTTCCTGCTCCGCCTCAAGCGCTCCGCGCGCCAGGAGTTCAAGTCCAGCGAGTTCGGCCGCATGCGCAAGCGGGTACATTGCTCCTGCTCCCTTCCTCGGTTGCTGCTCTGAGCATTGGTCGTGTAGCCTTTATCTCTGCGCGATATTGCTGTCTCGTTTGGGAACACAGCATATGATTGGTGGAAATGTTGTGTGACCAAGAACACGACGGCTCCCTTGCCATTTGGGCTCCTGGAGTTGCAGTCATATGGTCTGCTCGCTCGATATGTTAAGCTTGCAGACTTTTTCGTTGAACTCTGCTCTAAGCTAAAATGCTCATGATTTTGAGATGATTGTCTGCTGACTTGGACCAGTTACTGATACTTCTACTTAAGATGGTAGAGCAGTCACTTGCAGATTTGCTAGTTGGATGTTTGCCTGATAGTTTAAAGCTTAATGGTTCTTATTTGCATTATATTTCGCCGGATAATGCTGAACTTAGTCATTTAGGGATGTTTGTGCTTATGCTGCTGGGACAACTGTAGTCTCATATCATCCCAACAGTAGTCCTTGACCTTTGCAGCTTTCATGATACAATGCTCGTCTTTGGGTCTTGTGATATGCTAATTAAGAATTAACTCATCGCCTGCTTGAAGGTTGAAACCTTCATCTCAGCACGGGGTGAACCTTAGAACAAACAGTTAGCAGCGAATAATTCATATTTTAGAACCTCAGACGACTCCTGTATTAATAGATCCATGACATTTGGAAATGAATCTATCAAGTTAATCTAGTATATTTCAGATGCCTTAGTAGCAGCATGTCTCAAAATTGTTTTTGACTTACGTTTTCATCTTTTCATCAGGTTGCTCGTCTGCTGACTGTGAGAAGAGAAAGGGAAATTGAACAAGGAATCAACAAAAGAAATTCTAGGAAGCTTGACAGGAAATGGAAACTGGGTATTGTGGTTGGACCACCACCATCTCTAAGGGAGAAGAAGGAGGAGGACTAGAAAACAGCAAAAACAGGCAATTTGCACAAGTCAATTCACCCCTTATAATGGTTTGTTTTGTAATCCAGAGTACAGCTTTCAAGTCCTTGCTGTTAAAACCAGAACTTATGTTACCATTTTTGCGTGTAAATCTCAGTTTTATTTGAAATTTCTGCTACTTCTTTCTGTGTTAATTGTTTATGTTCTTATATAATTGACATATGAAACTACGTGTAAGGAGTTTATGCTATTCAGTTGTCAAGACTAAGTAGCACTCCGTACCTGGCTTACATGATTTATCATTATGCTCAACCGGATCAAAGTATGTCACTTGATGACATTTCAACCTTGATTCTGTAGGACAATCTCGTGTTACCATTTAGTTTTCTGCGCCATAACAACGAAAACACATGGCCTCTCCTCTAGTTTTTTTTGTGATTATGCTCAACTGTGTGTTGCCTATTCTTTTGAATCTTTGCCATGTCATGAAAATATTCAGTCTTACAAATGATTTGTCTTCTCAAAGTTAAGAAAAGGAAATAATATTATGTCTGCCTACTTAACCCACCAATTAAGAAAAAACAAAAAGGGTATACTGTGCTCAATGAGAAGCTTCGATAATTTTAAGCAGGTAACTGACTTGTTGTTCATTCAGCCAGCTTAACTGTCCAAACTGCTCATTCTACTCACTTAACATTGCTTAGTGTGGGCATATACCCTTAATGATTTAAAAACTACCCGGACCACCTTTTGACACAGTGACCACATCAGCCACTGTCAAGATTGCTCACTTTATTGGACCCTGATGCTAAAAAGAACTGATTTACCTAAACAAAGAAGATAAACTAATGTAAAGAAACATATTGTTCTACTCATATCTATAATAATAACTTTGTGAATTATGGTGCTTTATTTTGCTCAGTTTACTATTTATCAAATATTTGGAAACTTCTGTGAAAATCTCTAATTCCTCTTCTTGTGTAGGACACTCAGATTGTTGTTAGTGCTGATTTACAGCTTCTAATCTAGCGTCTAAAGTATGCTGCAGATGTCATGATCAGTTCCATCATTAGTAAGCCCAGACTGCCAGGCAGGCCCTTTAGCCCAAAATTATAGTGCTGATCTGATCTTAGTTTGAGATGTTTGAGAGGCTTCACCCACAAAACATTCTAGTCACCTTGTTCTCATTTTCTGCTCAATATACATTCAGGACTTAGTACTGTAGTTGGACCTGGATTGTTTGATATGCTGATAACGGAAGATAGCATTCACATGCTCTTTTAAAAAAAAGTTCCATGTCATCGACAGTTTTGTTTTTACCTTTTACCACAGCTTTGTCTTATTCAGTTGTTGTGACCAAAATAGGGGCAAAACCTGCTAAGTAATGCAAATCTAATGGTTTTACCTTACTGTCAACTGTTAAAACACAAAGAAGCCCCAAAGGAAATTTATGTCCTACACAAGACTAATGCTCAAAGAAGTTTGAAGTTGCTAGAGCCACAAAATTTTACCGGTTAGGATTCACTGTCGACCAGCTTCGCGTTATATATTATTGGCTGTGCCATCAGATGCACAATTAGTGAAACACAGTGTTACTTGCTAAAGGTTAAGTAGGTAATTTCTTTTGTCACACAGTATTAGAATCAGAGCATGATTGCAAGAATACTTCCACATTTGACATTTCATAACTGTTTCTAAACTATGCTGGGACCTGTTGACAGAATCAGGAAAGGTTACTATTCACAGTTATCACATATATTTAAACCATAATTTGTGCTATTTATCAAACATGAAGATCGTAAGAAGTCTTATTCAGCAAGTGTATTCCAATATTCACCAAGGGGTGTCTACCTGTGTGTGTCTTTTATGCATTTTCCTTTCCCAGTCCCAACTACTCCAAATATGGATTTTACAATAGTCTACCACCTATTCTTACTTTCTCAGTGACATAGGAAGCTTAGTGCAATATCCAACCCGTGGCATCATAGGTACCACCTTGATTTGCTTCCTTCTCCCAAATGTCCTTGGTTGTACCAAAATTGAACCACACTCTATTCACACCTTTATATAGAAAAATCCGAAAACTGACACTTGTCAGTGACAAATAAAGCGGTGCTGTTATTGTTTGATTAAATTAAGTTTATTAATGTTAGCCGTCAATGTCTTGGAGGAAAAGGCATCGACCAGTACCTGCTCACAAGTCAGAAGAAAGCATAGCATTTTAAAAGAAAACTAAAATGCAAATGGTTTGAAGCTGTGAGATGTTTGATCTCCGACAAGGACATGATGACAAATGACTATGGCAAAACACTAGCAGTGCTTAGGAAAAGCTGATGGCTCATGCATGATTAGCATAATTTAATATTGGTAGTGACAGCAGCATATGTCTTAGGTGCTTGGATCCTTCTTATCATTGCTACTTGATTTCTAGCCCCTCTTTTGACAGGGCAAAAATTAGTCAACTTCCTATAACTGCCTCGGAAGACAAGTTTCTTTCCTATATCTTGCACTGCCAATAGTAGCATCTGGAAGGTTCCTTCTTTGAGCATCACTGTATCATTTTTCAATAAAGCATTTGCAGCTTGCAACACAAGCTTTTCTCTTGAAAAGACCACATACGTTATCTGTTTCTTCTCTATATACCGTGGATCAATACATATATGCTCCGCTGTTCTGCAACTCTGTTTTACTGCTAGTAGATTTTGATTTTGTTGATAGTAGAGTGAAATATTATTAAAATTATGTTCTTCTACTTAAAAACAAACTTAGGGTGCATAACTGCATACGTCTTCAACTAATACACATTGCCATTTAAAAAATGTTTAGTGTGCCACATGCAGTTATATATTATGTAGGAGTTGGTGAGCAAGATCCCAGTCTCCCATGAAGCACTTAAACTAGGAAATTGCAAAAAAAAAAGTCGCACAAAATTCAAGCTGGAAAATTTATATAGGGGCAGGTCTATATGTACAAGTGTTTTGGCATATACTGTATATGCATAGGAGCATATGGGTTGCCAATGCACGCTGAAAGCTATAGCGCTAAAAAATCCAACTGGGGCTACAGCACTATAATGGAAATCACATCACAAATAAGAGGTAAGATGTGAGAAACTAAAATTGAAAAAGCAAACCAAAGAGTAGCACACACTTGCAGTCAGAACTCATGCAAACTCGCTCATGAACTCATCATAAAATGAGTCAGACCAAATAGGGAGCTGGGTGCCGTTGCCCTCAGCGTCACAGCTTGAGGTGCTGCAAGCATCGCCGAGGTTGGAAATAGGGAAGTCAGCAAGTGGCGGAAGGGAGTCCTCTGACAGGAGCAACGGTTTCTGGGTGCCGTTCTCCCCCTCACCGCTGTTTGCACTGTAATCTGAGTTCTGGTTGGTACCATTGATGATAGGCTGTTCGTGTTCGAAGAATGAGCTACTAGGTATCTGGATGTCAGACACTTGCCCAGTTACCAAGTCTTGGCCATTAATACCCTCCAGGATCCTTGGAGATGACAGCGAAGACAAGGAAGACATCTGCGAAGGACTCAGGAGGCCGATTTGCTGTAGGTCAGTGGGGATGGTGTTGATGCTGCTGGAGCTGGGACTAGTCGCAATGGCTGCTGCGGACTGCAGCAGGCACTGTAAGTACTCGAGCTTTGCTGCCTGGACTGCATCGGCTTGCAGTTGGCTGGCGCTTTGGTCGTCCCACGGGCGCTGCTCCACAAGCTGGCGGAGGTTGGCTAGCGCGATGAGCTGTGGCAGCGCGGCGAAGAAGTCGGTCCTCGGTCGGTGCGTCATCGGGTCGAAGCCCATCTGGATCAGCTTCTTCTTCAGGTGAGTGTTCCAGAAGTTCTTGATCTCGTTGTCGGTCCGTCCAGGGAGGTGCTTCGCGATGGCTGACCACCTGGTTTGATCAGCACAACCCAGTTTGTGTGTGTTAGCAAGAGCACCACATATATATGTTTTTGAAGATTATACAACACATGTAGACCATTCTTGAAGATTAATAAGCAAGAGATTTGATAGGTATGCCGTACTTGTTGCCAAGGACGGAGTGGAGCTGGAGGATGGTCTGCTCTTCCTCGGGTGTGAACTTTCCTCTCTTGATATCTGGCCTCAGGTAGTTGGTCCATCTCAGTCTGCAGCTCTTGCCACACCTGTTGAGTCCTGTGAGATGCACAGAAGAACCAGAAGCATGAGCTACATTTCGGACCAAAGCTAGCCACGGCATCTCTGCCCGATAGCGAGACAGAAAACGGAGGCGTGCGTTGCGTACCTGCAAGCTTAGGCAGTGCTCTCCAGCTCCCATGGCCATGCTTCTCGATGTAGTCCGTGAGTTTCTGGTCCTCTTCGGGTGTCCAAGGCCCCTTCTTGAGGCCATTCTCGTCACAGCAAGGAGACCTCCCCATTGATAGGATTGAGATAGAATTGGGGTAGGATGGTGCAGGTGGGAAGGAGGGAGACAAAGCTATCTGCCTCTCCTCCCTAGCTTGGTCCTTGGGGTTTCCTGTGTCAAGGATGTCTGGTCACCGGAACACAGCTTCCTCTATATAAAGGCCATGAAATCCGGTGTCTAAACCTAGGTCAGGATTAGATTATTCGAGTGGAAAGGACTAATCTGCCCTTAGATAATTTGGGTATGCGACGTAGAGCACATGTCATGCGCCCGGGGGCAAGGGTATTGGTGTCCTCCACACTAAGGTAAGGGCTGTTGATCCATGTTGTTGACTTAAGCCGCTAGCTGCTACTTGGGCAATCAGCATTCAGCAGTCACATTGATACACTCTGTTTTCCTTAATCCTTTTTTTGAACAAGGTGTGCTCCTTAAGCCTTGCTTTAATTGTGTTGTTTTCGTTGCTGTTGTGCACAAAAAAAGGATGATGCATTGGGTGTTTAACATTTAAGAAAGCACAATCAGATCATTGTTGATTTTTAAGTAGCATAGCCAGTAGCTCATCATGTGACATGTCCTACTACCATATATTGTGATTACTTGCTGGGGGGCCTGTTTTCCATATAAAATGAGCAAAGGTTTCAGAAGTGGGTTCCTGGAAGCATGCTGTATCAATTCCAAAGACATAACTGATGCAATTTCATCAACTTCAATTCGTGTCTTGGAATGTAGTTGTAGCAGCCTCAAGATCTGTTGATATTGTATTGGCAACATTGTACTTGGCACATGACACCCATCTTATGCATTTCTTTTAGAGTTATACTATTATACAGCATTTGCATGCATGTCAACATGTAGATGACTAGATTCCCGGGATATCATAGTACATGTTGGCGTATATCCTCTTCTCAAGTATGTAACGGGACCATAAGATGACAGGCCTGCGTATGGAGCTGGACTGAGACCGTCCTAATAACTAACAAATAGTTAAGGAGAAATATTTTTTTTTGTAGAAGTAGACCAGATGACAGTGTTAACAGCTAGCTAGAATTGCGTATGCAGGCATCTCTTGTTTATAGAGTACAACGTATGCAGAGATCTGGCCTTGTAGTCTTGTTCATGCGGTCCCAAAAACTAAGTATATACTTTGAATTCGTTGGTTTGGCACGTAATGCCTGCTTATCCATAATGCGTGTGCTGCTTTAGTCTGAAATGTATTTCAGCTGTAGCAAGTAGGCAGCATCATATATCCGGCCACTTGGTGCGATGTACATGTCGTTGACAAATTACCAGGGTCGCTGAGCTGCAACCGAACCAACAACACACACACAGGTGGTGAGGAGGTCCCAGATGGATAGATTCGCTCGTCATTGCAGTTACCTGCTCCGACCCAGCGACCGGGCAACAAACCAAAGCGCCCTACTGCTCCTACTGTCCTACATGTACATGTCTTCCGTATACTCGATCAGATCAGACCGCTTGCTTTTGGCTTTTGGCAAAGCTCGACCGATCATCACTGGCGACCTAATTAACAGGCGGCTCCCATCCAGCACCAGCCACGGACGTAGAGGAGAGGAGATTGATTTCGCTGTACGTATCTTTTCCAATGTGTTCCACGCATGTCGAGCGGTCGACGGGGTCCACGTGGTGGCCGCCGTGGGGCCGCGGCTGGCCGGCCGGCCGCGAATCTTTCCTTCCCCATGCACGCAACGTACGTGCGTGAACGGACCTCCTCCTCGTCGTCGTCGTCGGCTCGGTCGTCGTCACCGGCCCACCCCACCCTCCGTCCGCGTGGCTCATAAACAAGTGCAAGTTGATCCGCGACGTTGCTTTCAGGCCAGGGTCCCCGGTGCCCTAGCAATAGCAAGCTCCATCGAGGCTGTCTGTGGCACGCAGCTAGCGCGGCTCCTTTTGTTTCTTTACCATATCATTATCAGTTACCTCGTCGCGAAACTGCCGTTGGTCCCAGTGACACTATCTCCGTTTGCGATTGATTGAAGGCCCGTGTGTTTCTCTTTGTTTTGATATAGTATGACAAATTTTGTACTTGTTCTCATGTTTGTTCTGTCGTCGCTCGAACCTAGTGGTGGATTTGGTTTACTACGGATGCGTTGTTGTTATTCTATAGGTTGGACTACGTTTCTAGATACTGTATGTACATATATGTTTTGTGTGAGATAGTATTGTTAATGTGCACGGTGAACGAAAAGGAACCTAACCATCTGAACTACG